TGAACTGACCAAACACGCGCAGACACACACACATACACACACACACACACACACACACACACACACACAAACACACACACACATTAACCCGTTTAATCCCAAACGTTTCCCACCTGTGTGTGTACATGAATTTTACTCCTTGGACTGGCTCATGATATATGATATAACTATATGCCTTTTCAGTAAATGGTTTGGAAAAATGAGTAAAAGATTTTTATTTTTGGTGACTGGCTGGAAACACAAAAGTGTCAAAGTTGCATAAGTTAACTAGTTACACCCAATTACACAAGATACGCAATAATACGAATACTAATACTAATAATAATAATAATTGAATCTTTATTGGGTCATCATGTTCTAGCATGTCCAAAACTTCAGACAAAATTGAGCTGTATGAAAGAAACAACTGATAGTTTGGATTATCAACAACAAATGTGAGCCACTGTGTTATCCCACCAGCCACAACTGTGATGTTTGTATCACCTATAAGCATGATATAAATATAGCAATATAATCTTAATATAATATCAATAATAGACTTGTTTAATTAATTTTCAGTTAAGCTTGCCATTAAGTGAAAAACAGAAGTTTATAAAACTGAAGTATTTAAAAGATACAGAGAAAACAGGACCCCCCAAAAACAGATGCAAGACCACCAAAACCATCACCATCAGATAAACAGTATTTAAAGCTTTTATCTTCCAGAGAAAGAACTAAATCAAGCTCTATTCTTGCTTCAGATCTGAAAAACTCCACAGGTGTTTCTATGCATCCATCCACTGTGAGAACACTATGGGTCTGAAAGGATGTTTGAAGTTACTGAGAAAATCTGAGAATCAAAAAAAGAAGCTGCGTTCTCAGAACAATGAACTGGCCACCCCAGAGTCCAGACCTGAACATCATTGACTGTGTTTGTCATTACCAGGATTGCTAGAAAATGCAACAAACTTGTAAGACTGAACTTTGGAGGGCTGGAAAATATCACAGCAGATTTCTTTGAAAAACTGAAAGCAAGTCTCCTGAAAATACTGGAAACACTGAAATTGAATAACTTGTACTTAATGGAAGCTTTGACTGGACATTTAACGACTGAAGGGTTTTCTCTGACTTTTGCACATTACTGTATGTAGTAGTTGTATTATAACATTTTTTACTAACGTCCTTCTGTAGATCCTTAGATATTAACATTCTCCGGTGTTTGTGAAGTAAACGGCTCTGGACATTGAAAACAATTACACCACCCGTACAAACATCTTCATATGAAATCAAGACAACCTATATTTTAACTTCATTTTAATTTATAGTTTACTGTCCAACAGAAAACACATTAACAACTCTTTCAGAGCTTTATAAACCCAAAACAAAATTTCTGTCACACTGGTGACCATTAGGGTTGAATGGGTTAAGTATGGGCTAAGTACACTGCTAATGATGATTTAATTATCTAAAAGCATAGAAGGAGAATTTCCTTCTGACTTCAATGACTATTGCTCTTGATGTGTATAACATATTAGCATATTTAAAAGTACTAAGAAACAGACTAAAAATTCACTACAATTAGTTAATTACTTCAATTATATGACATGTTTCTCTGAACCTCCCCACTGAGAGTCCCGCATGTCCACTCTTGATTAAATCTTGATCTGCGCCCAGGCATGTCAGTGACCAACACGGGTCACTTCAACAGCAGACATACTTGTGAGGTACAGCATTTAGCTATAGTGTAATACTGAAAGTACTGTGCACATTTTACAAGACATTAATAACCTAAAAACCTCAATGCAGAAACTGATTACTCACTACTGTGTTTGATTGTAACTCAGTGCAGCAGTGTGTTGAAGGTTTGGTCCAGGCTGTGTGTGAGTGGGACAGGGTGAGTGTATTCTGGGAGTGGTACTCCTCTCCACACCCCTAAGGGGCAGCAGAAGACTGTGCAGCGAGGCTTCATCCTGTCCGTCCCTGAGCCTCTCTACACCACCACCAGTCCCCCAGTGTGTGGAGTCTACCACCACTCCACACACAGCCTACTTATTCTCCACACACCACACTAACACTGGGGATTAGTACTCAAGGCTAAAGTTCAGTGCATGTTTTTGGACATGGTTAATGTCACATCCTGAAGAATGCTGAGGCTAGCTGGTTGTTTAAGGTATTATTTTTAGACGGTGGAGAAATTACAATACAGTGTTTTCTAGTGTGCGTGTGTCATTAAAGACATTAAACCAAGAGAGGGAGAGCACAATTTACGACTTTCTTCTTTAATTGGCTTGGTCCTACGATCCATTTTTAAACGTTAAACAACATTTAAAGTATTAATGCAAACATTAATATTGCTCAAAAAGTGTTTTTAAGGATTTTGTATCTACATATTTTCATGATTTTCTATTATTTTAAAGTGACCATTAAAAGGCAAAGATTGTAGAATCTTTTAAAAATTATGTATATACAATATAAAAAAGATGCACTGCATTTACATCATTCAAAAGTTGCATCAATTTCGCATGAGTAAAACACATAATATCAACGCATTTCATTCTTCAGTTTACTTACTTCTGGGAAGAATTGTGTTTTATATTCTGTTCATGTGCAAATCATTTGAATCAAGCAAATTCAGTGAATTGCTTTTTCCATTGTAGTCTGCTGTAGTATTACCCTTGTGACAAAAGAGATAAAAAAAATGTATATAAATGAACATGACATCTGTGCAAAACACTATAAGAGCAGCGTTCTTTTGAGCTTTCGGTACTTGCTGATGCTTTGACTTAATAAAGAAGCTTGGGTAGACATGCTAGTGTTGATCAGAAATATTCCAATAAGAAAAAAGGATATACAGTACTTGTATACGCTGACTTTCTTGCACAACAACACGGCGACAACATGGCACAAACATACCACACATACACAGGCACGCATACTGAAAACTGGTTCAGGCACACAACAGAGACTTTCCCATTCTTTCAGCAAACTCGATTAAGTGAAAGGGGACAGATATGGAGTAGTGTGTGTGTGGGCTCAGTACAAAGGCAGAGAGAGGAGCGCTCCAGTTCAAGGCTATCATGTGAATTGTTTTTCATATGAAAAATGGAATGAGTCAGAAGTTTTGCGATAAGTGACAAAGTGGGCAGTGCCTCGAATTCCACCGTGGGATGCAACACAATTTAATAAAGAGAGGAGGTCTTGAGAGGAAAAGTGTGACGTGAAGGTTAGCTGGAGGTCTCGCGCTAGATGAAAGTGGGAACTCTCTCTCCCACTGCTGTCAGCACTTTTTAATGTGAACTTTGCGATTGATTGGCGGGCCTGGCCAGGTTTTCCCCCAAACTTTCCCAGCCTGCAATGTCGGCTACACCCGTCCAGACGCTCTTCCTATGCTAATACGCCACTTCCCACCACAGGCTTTCATTACAAATCTAAACATCAAAAAAGACAAAGCATCACGATATGTAATTAGACTGATTTACATACTGACAATTAGTGTGCACTAAACGTGTCTATGTAACAGCAAAACAGTAAACTATAATAATCCAAACAATTTTAAATATTGACAGAATTAAATGTCAAATTCCAAAATAAGCCACCTAGAAAAGCCTTACTATCATAAAAACTCACTCTTTATTCATTATAATAACTAATCACTGACTAGGTTACATTTGCTGGAGTAATTAATACAACAGAGCCTCCCAACAAAGCTTTCTAGAGCACCCTTAACTTCTGCACACGATATATCGCTGGAGTTTAGCTGCGACCTTTGTCTACACAGCAATATAAAAAAATGTCAGAACAAAAATTGAAAGACACACATGCTCATTTCACATAAAGGTCAGAAATTCAATCACACTGCCATAAAGTATTTCACTAATAAAGTATGTACAGGCGACCCTACTTTCTGACTTCATAATGATTCGCTGCATTGTACACTATCGTTTCTTCAACAAGCTCCTTTTCGTTATTGATTAACCCAAATACCTAGAAGTGAGAGAAAGAAATTTATAGCACAAAGCTTTAGCCCCATTTTCTGTTTTTCTCTTTTTAAAGAAGTGATAAAACTCACTAAAAGATAAATTAGTTTAAGACTTTGGGTTTAGCGTCACTGTAATTTATTCAACATAACTCCAGGCACATTTACTAAGCTGGGCCCGTAACTCAAACGCTATCAGAGCAAGAACCTCAAAGGCAACAGTCCAAAAGAAAAATAATTTACTTCTCACACCTAAATAAAAAGAAGCTTAAAATGTTTCACTGACAACTATGAGCCTCCATACTGTGGAAATCTTTTGGCCAAGATACAGGCTACAATATATTTCGTCCAGTTAATCACTATTTCTGAAGGTGTTCCAACACATAAAAAAAAAAAAAAAATTCACAGATTATATCTTGTTCATTGCAATGCATAAAAAATACTGCAAAACTCATAGTCGTCTACAGTTGTACTGCTTCAGTAGACTTTTGTAGGCTGGTGTGTATTAAATGTTGCATAAATAAAAGGCTTAAAGAGGGACAGGGAAGTGAGGAGGAAAAAATAATATGCAAACACAGAAGTGGCTTAGGCAAGAGAGTGAAAAGAGGAGAAGAACTGAACTTGAGCTGAAACAAACGGCCTCGTTAATGCACTGTCACAGATTTCATTAGCCAGTCTGACCAAGGTGGCGGCGCTATAAATCAGAGAATGAGGGAGAGTGAGAGAGCAAGAGAGAGCAAGAAAGAGAGAAAGAAAGAGAGAGATGTCTCTCTCTCTCTCACTCGCAATAACAAACACAAATGCTTTTCAAGGACAGAGCTTAAAAAGTGGTTCATTGGTGCAAGAAAAAAAAAAAACAATACAGTATCAACTACTGGTAAACAGTTACTGGTAAACCGGTCCCATGCTCATTTGAATGGGATCAGCTTGGTCAGATGAAAACCGTGTGCCCTCTGTGAGCCTCTTTTGCGGTAAGTTAGTAGATTCTAGATTAGCTACGGGTTTCAGTACGCTTACTCTATTTCAGAAACAGCAAGTGTCCTACCTGCCTGTATGTTTGTGGGGGGCAGGAGTCGGTATGTGGACCAGAAGTGCGCCCAAACTTGTACACGTACACACACCCACTCACACACACACTCACACACACACATACACACACACACACACCACGATCCAGCGGTCAGGAGCAGTAGGCAGGCTGGTAGAACTCCTGGGGCTTGTGAATCCAAGCTGAACTTTGGAGCAGCCTCTTAACAGATGGCATGAGTGGGTAAACTCACTGACTGGTCCTGCACAAGCACCCGGCTTTTTACAGCGACTGCAGCTTCCCCGTCAGATTAAATCTGTCTATTGTTATGGTCAGTATCTTCTCGAAATCAAACTCCCTGGCACCCTGCTGCACTACACCAAGTTTTGACTTATTACCACATGCGAATGAAAGGGTTTTAACCTGGTTAATGTGGCCCCATTTAATGAGGAATCTAAACAGAATTTGAGACAATTTGTTGAAATATTGTGAAAGAATAAGACTCTAAATTATGTTAATGTTTATATATTAACTTCACAGGCTTCCGTTTGGCAGTAGCTGTTGTTTAAATTGTAGAATTGAAAAAAGCACTTCAAATTCACATGCCCTGGAGACATTACTTCTGCCTTGAACTCTAATTGATCCCGGATGCAGTCCTCAGAGGCAGGGTTAAACCTCTGGGCCTCAGGGATAAACCCTATTAAAACTACATGTCTATCACCACGGCAAGCAAACTGGAGGCTCACAGATGCAAATGATTCCCCACTAAAATATAACAAAACAGTCAAAAGCTGACAATAATTGTTTCACTGTAAACAAAAGGGCTGAATTTGAACATCCTCCCCCTCGAATTCTTCCCCAAAAGGCAGTGGCTCCTACCAGAACTGTGCAGTTTTTACTAATGCTCTGCAAAGATTCAATGCACACTTTAGACTTCTAGGAGGATGCCTATCGGAATAAGGAAAAACAACTAGCCTTCCACTGGATGGGATCCATTATCATGGCCAGATAGCATTGTTGGATGAGTGTGTCTCATTTCGTAGCAATTCACAGTCAAGAGAAGGCAGTGTATTTCTCAGAGAGTAAAAAGTCAGCCTTGCTAGCTTTGCCAGTATGCTCAATGCTAATGCAGCAGGGATTTCTAAACTTTTTACATTAATTACCTTCCACTAGGTAAATACCTAGTGCTGGAAACATTTGTCAACGTATGCGCCTGGCTGAACAGAATAGATTATTAGGATCTGAATGAAAAGCATACTGCATTTGCAAATGGAACAATGCTTTGTACAACAGTGTAGACTAAGAAGCATCTCTGCACACATACAAAATGCTGTAGGATGAGGAAAACCTAATGTTTTAAATAATATGTTCAATTGTCATAAATTTAAACTCAATATAATATCTCATAAAACAATATGTCAACTATAAATAAATAATTTGGAGTATTAAGTGGGCAAAGTATTTAGAACAGGTGTATGGACTATATTTAGTCAATCCACCACTAAGGCCCTAAAAAATAGTAAAAGTTATATATATATATATATATATATATATATATATATATATATATTTATATATATATATATATATATAAAAAACAAAAAAAAACCAAAACTCAAGCGAGTCAAGTAAGAGTAATTCTGGATAACCATGCTGCCTCCCCATTAAACTACATGGACATTACTCATTCTGCCAATTTTTCCCATGCTAGCCTGTGGTCATTGCAAAAAGATTTCACAGCTTGACCTACATTTGCTAAAGGCCTGCATTACGGCTTCAAATTACATCCAAACAAACAAATCTAAGGACAAATAAGAGTGTAGAGACATACATACACTTTACCGTAATGCCCAATGACAGAAGATAATGAAAATAGCCTTCTTTCAGGTACTGATACTGATACAATACAGGAACTGTAAGGTCAACAGGGATCAGTTGCTAAACACATCTAATGAAAAACAAAATAACACACACAAAAAAAAAAACCAGATAAGAAAAAAGATGTCTGCCACGCTGTAACGCATAACCAATTGTGTATCCACAGTGGGCAATGTAATATTTTTATATTTGAATCAGTTTAAAATGTACTTGTACAATTTAAAAGTACATTGGAATGATTTTAAATGACCCTTTTGATTACCATATTCCTAATTATTTTTCTTCACTTCATCACTATTCGGCAACAATTAACATTCGCCATGACTTGGGGCTGAATTAATCTAAACTTTGACACCCTCATAAAATACAGACACTGTTTTGTACTTTGCATTGTGTTTGGGGCAGCTATCAAACACACAAAACCACTTTTGAATGTTTTAAGGCTATAATTACTAACTTCAATTATAAAACATTGATAGCAATTTAATTCGAGCCCTGATTGTTTGTGAAGCTTGATGGAAAAAAAAATATTAAAATTCAGACTAATTAAACAAAACAGAAATACAAGGATGGAAAATGATGTGAAGGGGGGTCGTGGTGCATGGGTGAGTAGACAACCTACTAGGGTTTAGCTTCCTGGTTGAAATCTTAAAAATATACCTTAAAAACTGAAAACTGGTTACCACAAAAGTGGTAGTTGGGAAAATGTGCTATTTGGGTCTATTTGTAAGAAGAGGCACTTTACTTATTAAACACAGTCTTGCTGACCTATATTGTGGGCACAAGATCATATCATTTCTCAATGTCACATGACTTTGGGCTAATTTCCTTTTTGAAGCTTCCATGTAACAAGACGTAAAACTGGGCATTTTTCAGTTCTGTATCTGTTAAAACCATGATCAAGACAAATATCAAGATTAACCAAGACGCTTTACAGTGGAATTTGATAAAATCTAATTTCTTACTTGCCTTGAGGAGAGAAGGAGGAAAGAGAACATTGAAGAGGACCGGACAGCCTATACGAGAGTGAAGCATTAATTAATCACTCTACTTCTGCAATATCTGAGCCACTGGCCAGCAGAGTGTATAAAAGATAGTGGTGTTGGGGTAAGGAAAAGCAATCACTAAATGCAGCTGTGCTGTGATGGTCTGCTCTTGGCCCCTGTGGAAAGCACTGTGCAAACAGCAGAAAGTTGCTGCTTGTGAAGGGTAATGGGACATCGAATGCCAGAGGACACAGGAGGAAGTGGGTGCACAGAGAAAGATGAAGTAATCTCGGAAGCAACTAGACACACTCCACTTGGAATTTTGCCCCAAACAAGATTAAAGTGAAGTTATTCTACACGAGTATGGCAGGGATATCAATCTTCTGCCCAGAAACAGAAGCAGACTAAACACGAGTGAACAACAGAAATCGGCTAGCATGTCTTTTTGCTGGTGCCTGTAGTTGCATTGTGTGCAGTTCTTTACATTCATTTGGGAATAATAATCTAAGCAAAGTAATTTTTTAATTTATTAAAATGTAATAAAAAATAAATAATAAGATAATTTGCATTATGAAGTAAAACGGCACAATAAAAAAAACAAAACAAAATATATAAAATATATAAAACCTTGACAATTCAAAGAAACAATGCTTAAATGGTTATTTGCATGGTTAAATGGTTCTCCACAGTGGAGATTTTTAAAGAAATGGTTCAATAAAACACAGAAAAGGGGTTCAATTATTGTTCTAAGTCAGCTTTACCTTTTGTACCATACAGAACCCTTTTTGCTAAGAGTGTACAAACACGGTCATTTATCTACAAAGGTCTGCAGTTTATCATAAGAAACTGTGATTTGAATACTTTGCTCTGGATGGCATTACCAAAGCCATTTTTGTGAGATAACCAGAAAGACGCATTAAAGAAAACACAAGAGTTTCAACACAGATATATTTTTAAATTTCATATACTTTCAACTACACTCTTCAACTAGAGGGCCAATTTTAAAATAAATCACCCAGCTGTCAGCAGGTACTTTTGAAAGGTAACTGCAATCTAAATAACTGCTTTGAGCTGCTCATAAAATACATTTCTACTCTCGCACAAATAGTGGCTGAGTTTTCCATTAACTGACCTCCCCACTCACCGCTGCTAGTGAATGCGAATAGCCCTGCCTTGCCTGGCCTACTGCGGAGAGGAAAGCCCGGGAACTCAAAAGGCATCTGCCCAAGCCATTTAAAAATTCAACACCATTAAATCCATTAAATGAGGATAACACAGAGTTTTTGTTTCAGACCTGTTGCATAAAGGATCCCCTCCCCACCGCCTAAAACCCTACTGAGTGAGACAGCCTTTTAATGAGGGGGGGATAATCCGGCAAAACTCACCCACTAATGAGCTATCATCATGCAAAAATGCCAGCTTGATACACATTAATTGGATTCCTACTTTTTTAACCAATTAATTGACCTGCATTGTCATGTTGCCTGGCTGCAGTGGGTTTCTAAGAGAGAGAGAGAACCCCCGTTTAGATTCAGTGACTCTAGTGGCCAGAGGGGCGGTGAATAGAAGCAGGTTTTAGTGAGATCAGCTCTCTCATTAAAGGCTTATGACATTTGTTAGAGTCAATCCCTTTGTTGAGAAAACAGTTTGTGCTGCTCAGTTGAAGCCTCTACAGTGGGCTGCTGGCCTGTGCTGATGGTCAGTTCTAACCTTAGTGCAGTCTGATCTCGGTCCTGTACACCTGGAGGCGAACTTAGTGGCTAAGGCAAAGCAATCCCATACACTTGTTCAACAAGTGCCTTGACAAGCTACAAGCTACATCCTTAGGTGCTGTTATTTTTCATCTTAAGTGGTCTTTAGTCATACAGTGCTGCATCATGTATGAATACAGAAATGGAGCTTTCATATTTAGGGAAACAATGGTAAAGAATGTTTTATTTTGAAGCATTTTTCCATGAAAATCACATCAGTAATGGTTAAAATAAATTAAAAAATACATAAATAAATAAAAATAAAAGTATTATATATATATATCATGTTTTAAGCACGCAGAGCATATGCTGAGGTCAAACTGTTTTACCGGCATTGGGAGGTCATACCCTCAGAAAATGATTTACGTACAGTGAATGGAATGTAATGTGTTCCCTTTAGTCAATGATCTCCTAAAAAAAACAATATTTTCAAGACAGCTCCTACTCGCCAATGTAAATTAAGAGCTTGTGGATTGAACATTAACCATG